GAAATATGGTCCCGCCCTCTTGGAGTCAACAAGAGAATGTAGGAGAAGCACATTTTGAACTGTGTAAAGTTTTATTTATTTTTTTAATCACTGGACTTAAGAAGGAAGATACGAGCTCCCTAGGATCACTCTGCAAATTGACCGCTACACCAAACAGTTTTTTTCAATCATTAAGAAAGCATTTATTATGTACCTAATGAGAAAACCCTAATGGAATAAGAACACAAAGTAGAAAACAAGGGCTTTGGACTTTGAGAAGTCTATTGCCCATTTGAAGGCAAAAGCTGTTAAATCCTTGAGGGCACGAATCATGCCTGATTTCAGAAATTCAACAGCAATCGCTGAGTGCCAAGTATGTGCCAGGCTTGATACCTCTTGGTATTATTTTTCTGTACCCAGAATAGCGATGGGCACATAGCAGGGACTCAAAAAATTACTTGCGGGTTGGCTGATAGACAAGAGCCTTTTGGAGAACACATGTACATTCACATAACCGAGTATGAGAATGTACCCTACATGCTGCATGGTAATTTAGGGTCTTCAGCTTTCAGAAGACATCAGAGAGGGCTGAGGTCTGGAGAAGATGTCTCCACTGTCTTCTTAGATTTGTGGGGTCAAAGGAAGAGATCCTGCCTGTGGGTTTATGTTAATCTGGGTTGCTCTAAATTGGTTTTCTTTGGCTGTAAGGGAGGTAACAATGCTCACATAAGAAGGAGCATGGGGTGGGAAAGTAGAGACCAGAATTTTATTTCTAGCGATAACATGAAGTAAGGTTATAAAATGATTCATGCTCACGCCACACAAATGCGTTCCTGTGGCCCTTTCCCTCCTATCCAAGTGGCATATCCTGTTACAAGTTCCCTGGTGAGTCCTCCTAAATGTTTGCTTTGTCCCAGGATATGACAGATCGAAAGGGGTTGTTGAAGGTTTTAGAGTGAAGAACCTTCAGAGTCCAGGTTCTAGGGACCTTCGCTTTTTGCCTTGGGGACTTCAGAACTTGTATCAGTTGCAAAGGGCTGCCAAATTCTGTTACCCAGGGTTCTCTGGAGGGCCCTAATCTAATGAGGCCTCCCCAGCCCCTAAGCCAGAGTCAGCCTCCTGCCATAAGTTCCCATAGTTTCCTGTGTTTCTTTAATGTCAATACATCATGCTTTATTGCAATTATGTGCTTAATAAAGGCGGTTGAGCTGGGTAAATGCAGGGAATCCTTGTCTGTCTTTTTAACGGCTGTACCTTGAATGCCTTGCGTGATGCCTGGCACCTGGTAACTACCGGATAAACTTTATTAAATGAATGAAAGAAAGGGGAAAATGACACTACAGGCAAAGGGAACATGAAGAGCCAAGATAAAAAAGGTGAGAAGTTGTGGGCCATGTACAGTGTATGTGTGTAGCTTTAAATATGAAGTATTAAGTATTGCATATATGAGGGGTACAGTGGAGAAAAGGTAGAGGGAGGCAGTGCTGTGGAACGTCTCAAGCACAAGTTCGAGTTTGGACTTTATAAGAGGTAGGATGCCAGTGAAACCCAAAGCTGAAGCAGTAAGATATATTGCCATTGTATTTGATAGAATCTATTCATGGCATGGGCGGCTTCCTTTGCCCCTCCTAACATGCTTCCTGCCAAGAAGTGGATAATAAATAATCTACAAAGCATTTAAATGCTATACACCCAGTAAACTCTGTGAGGATCTGGTCTACAAGTTTCTTTGGCTAAGGTTGGGGGCCAGTGTAGCTGGGGAACTGACTTCAGACGGGGACCTTCCATATCTTCCTCTGAGCAGCTGGTATGTGGTAGCAATTTTCAGTTTCTGTGACCTTGCCTGAGTCATCCAGGAAGTCACAAATGAGGGGTCATGTACCCTTCTTGCCTTCAAAGCCCAACGGGTCTGCCCCACCCCCACCCATCCTCAGCTGGCTTCTCTGGTTCCCTCCAGATGAGGCATCCTTTCCAATACTGTCTTTCTGATGTTCCAGGATGTTCCTTTTTGTACCTGTGCTTTACTTTTTCCAGGTGGGATTTCTAGGACCGCACGTGAGGGACTCAGCAGCGAAGCCCCTTGGCAGACCAAACCAAAGCGTCCCATTCTTTGTCTGGAGCTATTTTTATACTTCCTTGGGGACTTGCAAGGAATAAGTGACAGAGTCAGAAGATCAAGGGAAAAGTCTTCAGGGATTGAGGAGAGTTTGGAAAGCTTGCCCCAAATCCTGCAAGAATAGGACATTTGTTTCCTTTTTCTTTTCGTTTCCTTTTTATTTCCATTTCTGTTTTCCTCTCACTTTCTCCCCTTCTGCTTTTCCATCTGCTTCTCGCTTCTCATTTGGAATGCACCTCTCTCTATTTTCTACTTCCTCTCTCTCCAGTTCTTGGCCTTCCCTACACTTACCTTGCTAGTAACGGCTGCCTTTTATTCAGTTCTTATGCTGAACGCTGTGCCAAGTGCTTTCTATATATCACCTCAAAATGCTCTGAGCTAAATATGATTATTCAGATGAGGAAATTGAGACACAGATCCAGTAACTTCTCCAAGCTCAGCAGGCACAGACAGGCATTTGAACTCCACTGACCTAACCCGTAAGCCGTCTTCTCTTGACGGTTACATGGCCTCTTTTTCTGCATTTCCAGCTCCCTCTTGTCTTTTCCCTCTTTTGGTTACTCCTGTCTCCTCCTCCTCTCTCCTTCTACCAGACGCTGACCGCTGACCGCATCTGGATACCTGCATGTGTGTGGCTGACCGTGAGGGTGCTGAATGTCGCGCACGTGCCCAGAAGAGATGACAGGCCATTCAAACTCTTATCTAATCAGCCATTTTCCTTTTGAGCAACCATTCCACATTGTTCCACATTTGGAGGCCAAGGGAGGGGACCCTTCAGCACTTTTGGAAAAGGGCAGATGTCTGATCACAAACCAGAGGAAAGGCCTCAAGACCTAGCTGGGTCTTTGATATGCAGAGGAACAGAGATAAGGCCCTTTCTGCTCCCTCATGGCCTCTGCTACTCTCCACGACTGCAAACTCTCAGGGTTGGGGCGTGGGGGGCTGGGACAACACAGGCCAGGGGGCTGGTCTCTGTCAAGGTATCAACTCGGAAGCCAAAGAAGCCTGGACCATGAAATGCAACACCCACCACCCGGTCCTTCCTCATATGCGTAAAGAATGTTTGGATAGGAACTGGGAGTACATTGGCAACAAAGATGTGAAGGTCAAAGTTTGAATTTAGCAGTCTCTAAGGTCCCATGACAATCTGGGGTTTTGTGATTCTAAGAAGGGAGCATTTATGTTCAGTTCCCTTCTACTCTTTTTTTGTTTCATTCTGTTGATTAGGGTTAGAGGCTTAATCCACAAGGACATCTTTGCTCATCAAGTAGGAATTCTGGAGGTAGGAGATTCAAGAGTTTCAGAGACCTCAGGGCATTTCTGAGATTCTCTGGGCAGCTTGAGACATCTTGACTCATACAACCTGTCCACGGAGAGTGGGGGTGGGGAGGACTTCAGGTGAGGGGATGGAAAAACCTTTCCTAGAGAGCACTCCCTCCACATTAGACACTCCGCATACCTCACTGACCAGACTTAACTGCAGTGGAGACTGAGAGAGTGACATTTGGCCTTTCACCCTGCTAACGGGACCCAGTCAAGGACTAGGGTAGAAAACACCAGTGCTGCCACCCCTCCATTCATTCGACTAAGATTTAATAAGCACCCCCGCTGGGTTGGGCTCTGGGTCAGGTGATGACACAGAGGAAGACAGTCCCTGTCGTCCAGGAGCCCCTACAGGAAGGATATGGATGGGCAGAGGGTTACTAAGCAAGATGGCGGTGGTAGGAGAGGAGTGAGTGTCCCCAGGGCCATCATGGGAGTTGAAGCGGGAGCTTGAGGGAGCAGAGAAGGCTGGACGAAGTGATAACTGGGTGGATTTTGAAGGGTAAATGGGATTGAGCTAGGGGTGAGGGGGCATGTAGGAGGTGGTTGGAGGGAGGGCATTTGGGAATCTTCCAGGATTTGGCGTACTGGGGACTCCAAGGAAATGAGGCTAACGGAGAAGGCAACGGGCTGATGAGGGCAGGTTCTGTATGGGACCTAGAGGTTTGGGGCGCTCATTCTGGATGTGAGGGTGAGCAGGTCTGTGTGGGTGCCTTCTGCATATAGGCAGGAGGACAGGCCAAGCTGGACGGCAGGCAGATGGCTGCACTGCACTGAGGTGTAGCCGACTGGCACTGCCTGCCGCTTACCCGCAGGTAAACCTGAGCACTCACGTGTGATCCCTTTAGCTGCTGTGACCGAAGACTTTTTGTTCTGGATGGTTCTGATTGTTTGAGAAGGCTGCCTGAGGGGCCAAATTTGCCACTCACCCTTTCCTCCTCCACCTAGTTCTGCCCTCTGGAGCCATAAAAACATACTCTTCCACCTAACGGCCATGTAAACACACGGAACACGTGTGGTGTGATTTTCAGCATACCACATACCTCTCTCATTGAATTCTCAAAACCCTCTGGTGTAGCTATCCCCCTCCCTATTTCACAGACAAGGAAACAGGCTCAGGGATGTAAATGTCCGGTGTCATATTTGCAGACTCCCCACGGGTGTTTCTCCAGGTGTGTGGTTCGTGGCCTGCCTACGTCAGAGTCACCTGGGCTGCTTGTAGCAAATCCAGATTCGGGGGTGGAGGGGTGGGGTGGGGTGGGGGACGGAGGCACCCAGACCTCCTGAAGTAGAATCCCTGGGGGTGGGGGTAAGAGCCCAGAATCCACATTGTAACAAGCATCTCTGTTCATTTCTGGATCCACTGAAGTGTACGATAACCATGCTCTAATCTTGCTAACAGGATCACTTTGAATCTTCTTTCTTTTTATTTTTTTGTCTGGGGGGCGGATATCAGAGGGCTTTTTAGGTGAGTTTGACTTCTTAGTTGCACATTGGTAGGAACCAGTGGAACCCACAGCAAGCCCGGTTCTTTTCTGGTCTTTGTGGAAGCACCGTCTCTCTTTCTCCCCATTGGTTGCAGAAGCCTTGGCGTCTGTCCTCCGCTGAGCCACGATGGGCGACTGGAGCTTCCTGGGAGAGTTCCTGGAGGAAGTCCACAAGCACTCCACGGTGATCGGCAAGGTGTGGCTCACCGTGCTCTTCATCTTCCGAATGCTGGTGCTGGGCACGGCGGCCGAGTCTTCCTGGGGGGACGAGCAGGCGGATTTCCAGTGTGACACGATGCAGCCGGGCTGCGAGAACGTGTGCTACGACCAGGCCTTCCCCATCTCCCACATTCGCTACTGGGTGCTGCAGATCATCTTCGTGTCCACGCCGTCGCTCGTGTACATGGGCCACGCCATGCACACGGTGCGCATGCAGGAGAAGCGGAAGCTGCGCGAGGCCGAGCGGGCCAAGGAGGTGCGGGGTGCCGGCTCGTATGAGTACCCCCCGGCCGAGAAGACAGAGCTGTCCTGCTGGGAGGAAGCGAATGGAAGGATCATCCTCCAGGGCTCCCTGCTCAACACCTACGTCTGCAGCATCCTGATCCGCACCACCATGGAGGTGGCCTTCATCGTGGGCCAGTACCTTCTCTACGGCATCTTCCTGGACACCCTGCACGTCTGCCGCAGGAGTCCCTGCCCCCACCCGGTCAACTGTTACGTATCCCGGCCCACGGAGAAGAACGTCTTCATTGTCTTCATGCTGGCGGTGGCTGGGCTGTCCCTCGTCCTCAGTCTGGCTGAACTCTACCACCTGGGCTGGAAGAAGTTCAGACAGCGCTTTGCCAAGCCACAGCGAGGCCTGTCTGAGTGCCAGCTTCCTGGTCCCTCTGCTGGCATGGTCCAGAGATGCACACCACCCCCTGACTTCAATCAGTGCCTGGAAAATGGCCCCGGGGGGAAATTCTTCAATCCCTTTAGTAACAAGATGGCCTCCCAGCAGAACACAGACAACCTGGCCACTGAGCAGGTGCGAGACCAGGAGCAGATACCTCAGGAGGGTTTCATTCATATCCGTTATGCCCAGAAGCCTGAGGTACCCAATGGAGTCTCCCCAGGTCACCGCCTGCCCCATGGCTACCAGAGCGACAAGCGTCGTCTCAGCAAGGCCAGCAGCAGGGCCAGATCAGATGACCTATCTGTGTGACCCTCCAGTGTGGGTCACACTGGAACCAGGACCAGGTGGGGACAAAGGAGGCTCAGAGAGGGAAGGTGTGTGTGACTCCATCTCTCTCATTCTCATCACTGCTCTGCTCAATGGCATTGCTCATTTATTCCAGAAGGTATGACTTGGGTGGGCTCTGGGAGTGCAGTCGGAGACATGGCTACCCAATCCAGCTGCTGTCCCTTCCTCATCCCCTTCCCAGTATACTCAGCGAAGCCGTTCAGATTCCTCACTGAGCAGGGTAGAGGAAGGCAGTCATGGGGTATCTGGCCAGGGAGGGATAGGACAACTCTCTATATCCCAGCCACATACTGGATGGGTTCTCCAAGCCCCTGTGGCATCCTTGACCTGATTGCCCTTCCTCCAGCCAGGAAGAACCCAAAGTCCTCAGCCAATAAAGAGCATGAATCAAGGAACTTGCATATTAGATGTGCTCTTGGGCCAAGCCTTGGAGTGGTGGTGAGGTCTCCTTGGGCTGTCCTTGACTGCCCCTCCCTCTACCCAGTCTTATTAAAAAGAGATCCTTGGAACTTGACCAACAGCTTCAACTTTACAAGTGCCTTGGTATGTACACCTGGCAAAGGTCCCGCCTTGGCCACGTTGCAGCCTTTCCTTCTGCCAGGGGGTACAACCAGCCCAGGGGGGTGCGAGCTCTCCTCCTAGGGAGTCACTGTGCACAGACTCCACTGGAATTCCTGCCACCACCTGTCACCCTGCAGCTCTTTTACAGCTCATCCCGATGATAGAAACCATCCCTTCCCTTCCTCCCTTGGCGGTTCACCCAGTGCTCCCCTAAAGACCTTATCGACCGGAATGCCCAGGAAGCCGTCGTCCTCTCTCAGATCCTGACCAGATCACCAGCCACACGGACCTGTGGAATTTCCCCAGGTCTTTATTAAAACAAAGAGGACATTGTGTTTCTCATACTCCCCTTGGGAAAAAAAAATAATTCTGCTGTGAAGATGAAAATTAAAGAGGAGAGAAAATACTGGAAATTGACTTTTCCCTCCTATTTATTTCCCCTGCTGACTGGCAACTAGAGTGCCAAGAGAAGGTGTGATGACAGCTATGGAGGCCCCCCCCCAGATCTTTCTCTCCCTGGAGGATTTAGCGGGGGTGTGGAAGCATAGGGGAACCTCCAGCTCTCTTGGCAGGGTTCTCATTTAAGAGCACAGATTTTTGTATCTCCCTGGTGTTCCTAAGAGGCTGCCAGGTGGAGACTGCAGAAAAGCCCTGCCTTCCTCAGGGACTGGCCTGGTTTCGCTATTCAGTCCAGCCATAATGGGTTGGCATTTTGGATGAAGGTAAAGGATGCTCAGAATTGGACACTGAAACATAGAGAGAGATGGTTACTTTTTTAAGTGTGTGTGTGTGTGTGTGTGTGTGTGTGTGTGTGTGTGTGTGTGTCAGATCCACTGACAGGGTGGATCTGAAGGGGAGCAGAGACCTGAAATAAGGAAAGGAAACTTTAGAGAAATTTGTGTCTTTCTCCTGTCCCCCCCACCAGGTGCCTTGCAGAAGGGCTGGACCTCACTGTTTTCAGTGTCATCTGTCTCAATGGGTAGGCATTAGTGGTTGGGACAGAGGAGGGGCAAGGATCAGAAGGAGGCTGAACTTTTGCCCCACCTGCCTGTCTCCTGGCCCCTCGTCTGATATCTGGACGTTATTGATGGGTGGAGAGAAGGATGAGGGTAGAGAGGTGGAGGAAACAGATTGGGATGCCATCTAGGGAAGAATGACTGGTCATCCCAGGTCCCTGGAGGGGACACCATTTTATTTATAGTATGGCATTGGCATTAAAATCCTCTCCAAAACAAACCAAAACAAAAAAGAGTCTCCATCTCTGAAACGTGTTTGTTTTATGGGTGTTCTTGAGTTAGAAAGTCTATGAGATCAGTTTTTGGTGATGGGGCTTTCAGGAAGGCAAAAAGGAAAGTATGTGTAGTTTGGCTTAATAAAGTCTGGCCTTACCTCTATGGCTCCTTGTGTCCCTTTCATGCTGTGAGTACAAGAGAAAGATGGCAGACTTGGTGGGGAGGGAAGCCTTGGACCCCACCCATTAGCCAGTCAGCAAGACAAAGAGCTTTGGAGTCAGACATGCAAGGGTTTAAACCCCAGCTGCTGATTTCCAGCTGGACTCCTGCAAGCTGCTTAGTCTCTGAGCCTTGGTTTCCCATCTGTAAATCGAAGCTAGTAATATCTACCTCAAAGGCCGTTAAGGAGAGACTGTTTATAAAGAATTCAGCAGATTGCCTGAGAAATAATAGTGTGTCATTAAATGGTAATTGTTATTGTTGCTATTATTATCTTTATTATTTTTGTTATTATGGTGACTATATACTGTTTGGAAGCCTGGTATATCGAGGGATAGTTCCAGAACTTCACTTTGTGGAGCTTACAATCTACCAAAGGTGATCAAATAACTCACACAGAGGAAACAATTAGAATAGAAGTAAATGGGAATTCACTTATTATCACTTCTAAGAACCATAAGCCTCCAAGAAATGATCCATATGAAAAAAAAAAAAAACTACATAGAAGAGGGAGACCTTACCAGGCCCTAAAGAGTGGCTAAGGCTTTAGAGAAGTGAAGACCTCAAGGATGACTCTGTGGAATAGGTCTTGGTATACCCATTTAACAGACATGGAAACTGAGGTTGAAGGTGTCTTGACAGTGGGGCAGCTTTCCCTGGTCTTTCTGATCGGGATCACATCTTCCAGAAGAAGAGAAATGATTCTTGCTACAAAGGGTCAAGGGCCCACCCCTCCGTTCACCAACAAACGGGTGCCATTTCCTAGAGAAAGACACAAAGGCTGGGAAAAACAAATAGAAGTGTTATCTGAACTATCAATCTGTCTCGTTTATCGGGGCAGGAAAGCTTTTTTAAAGGAGGCTTGCAGAGAGATCATAGAAAACATTTTGTGACACCGGTGTCTAGAGTCGGGATGCACGTGGCATCTGTTCAGGGATGCCTGAGCAGTTCAACTGGAAAAAGCATCTGGATTCCATTTTTTTTTCTCCTAGAAAAAAAGAAGTGTGTCTCATGGTTTTATAAATACAGCTCTTAACCATATATTACACCCAGACTGCAAAAGCCAAGGGACTTGTTTTGTAGTAAGAGTTCAGCCTCATCTATCGACTCTCATTTTCTCTTCCTTTCCCCTTCGAAAGGCCCACCGCTAAAGAGGGTACGCCGGATCACAATATAGTGACCACACTCTAAGTTGCAGGCTCCTGTGGGCCCCTTTCCTTCATTTCCTTCCTCCAGTGCCAGATAAGACCAGAGTTTCTACCACCGGTGTTTCATTCCTATGGCTAAAATGTCGAAGTGGTTAAATGCTAATAACAAGCCTATGAAGGATCATAGTTTGAATGAGCATCAGATTTTTTTCGTGATAGCAGAGAGAAACAAAACAGGAACAAAGGTACGAGGTACCTTGCAGGTGTCTTGAAGGATTGCTTTCATGGATGCAGAGATGAGGAAAACAGCAGGGATGGAGGGGGCTGCCAAAGATAAGCTGCCCGCTTCCCAACCCTCAGTAGACCCTGGAAGTCCCCCGGTCGGTCCAGGTATGGGCCCCTGACAATAAGCAGGATTTACAAACAATAGAGATGTCAACTATAATTTAACATGTATATACATAGTCATAGGATGTGGAATACAGCATAGGGAATAGTCAGTGGAACTGTAAGAGCTATATATGATGTCAGAGGGGTAGTAGATTGGGGGAGGGGAGTTATCACTTTGTGAGGGGTGTAAATGTCTAATGATTACATTGTTTTGGACACTTGAAACTAAATAATCTAAAAAAGAACCAAAAAAAAAATAACAGATATATAAATAGAATAAGACCAGTGATTTTTACTCTTGTTGGTCACCTGATGGTCAACAGAGATGAGTATGGTCTATAGTTTTTATTATTGTTTCAATTGGAAAAGAGAAAAATGTTCATTCAACAAATATTTATTGAGCACCAACATTGAGCTAGGCACTACGTTAGACGGTAGGAATACGACTGTATAAAACAGATGTGGTTCCTGCCTTCCGGAGCTTACAGTGTGGTGGGGAAGATGCCCTAACCCATCACCAAACAAAATAATTACAAATTGTGATAAGTGTCAAAAAGGAAACAGAGAAGGGACTGGCAAAAGTGGGGAGGAACCTTCTCCAGGTGGGAGGAGAGTCCTTTCTGAGGGGGGACATGATGCTCGGATCAGACTTCTGGGAAGCAACCGAGCACTGATTAGGAGAAGAACCCAGGTGGGGGAACCCAAATTCCTTCCAGGAAACCCCAGAATACAGCTGTCCCTGAGTTCAGTCTGGTCCAACGGTTTTGAAAAACACGGAATTCAAACAGCACCTCAATAGTGCCTAAAACCTCATCTATTGACATTGGTGCCAACTGTCAGAAAACACAGCTCCTTCTCTCAGCAAAAGCCACAAAGGAGAGAGGAGCTTTTTCTCTCACAGAAGGAATAGGGGCAAAGGCCTGCATTAAACCCAAATACACGTATTACATACTAAGATTCTAAACGGCCCTGTTTGACGTTGCAACGATTATTTTCACCAGTATGGATTCTTGTCAGGCCTGAACCTTCTAGACTGGGCCTGTTCCCTGGAGTCCAGGCTGGTAGGCAGGGGGCTGGGAAGGGCCAGCGTCCCCGGGCATGGCTGAGAGGAGGGAACCCCCACAGCCAGACATCAAGTACATGGGGGGGTGGGGAGGCGAGGAGAGAGGGAGGAAGGCGAGCACATTGCGGGGAAGCCAGGCCACAGAAGCTGTGCAAGACGCCAGGCAGGCACCGCCCGGGACATCTCTCAGCTGGAGGCAGGGCCACAGCCACTGATCTGGGTTTGGAGCTAGACCTCCAGGCTTAGAGGAAGCTCTGACATGGGCAAAGCAGAGCTTCCTGCTGGGGCTGGGCTACTAGGCAGGGCCCCGGGATAGAGTCTGGGACAGAGTATAAGTCGGGGGCCCATTATCCAAAGTACAGTGAGGGGCTGATGCATAAAGTTATTGCCGGGGATAGATATGATTTTAACAGATGCCTTCAAAGTCTAAAGTCAGAGGAATGACCAATCGTGAGACTTCCAGGCACCTCATCAAGCATGGCGGTGGGTGGGGAGTTGATTTTTGACCTGGAACCTAACACTGCTTTGAAATCACCCCTAGCTGGCACCTACCTCCTTCACCTACGTGTTAAGGCCAGCACAGCCCTGGAAGATCATGGCTTCAGTCCAGGCTTCAGTCCAAGGATACAAGGCTTAAGTCCTCTCTGTCCTTTCAACATGGCTGACTTCCTGATACCCGGATTCAAGACCCTTATGGGGCAGGTCACATGCCCTTGCTAACAAGGGCCTCCTCAGAGAGAAACCGAGAGCTTTGCTTGAACCCAGTCAGAAGAGCCCCAGGCTCTGCAGCCCCAGTTAAGGTCAAGGCTAAATCCCCTCAACCAACCGGGCATTCAGGATAGGGTGGAAAGCTGTTTTATGCCTTCCTGGGATTTCTCTTTAAATGAGTTACACTATAACTTGGCAGAGTTTAAACTTACAAATGTTTAAGGTAAAATTGCACATGCAGAAACCAACGTAAGAACATGTGTAGGGTGTCGCTGCCTGAGGAAAAGTCAGTTTTTTAAAAAACCCACATATTTTGGTAACCATCACGAAACAAGCTTGCAATTGTGACGTGCCAACCAGAGGTTTTATGAATTATTATCTTATCCTAACAATAATACTATTGAGGTCATTTGACCCCACTTTATAGAAAAGGAAACAGAAAGATTTGGTAACAATACAACTAGTAGGTGGTAGAAAGGGGCTTCGACACCCATCTCTGTCTACACTATGCTTCTCGTAAATGCTTCTCATCTATTCTTAAGGAAAGAGGCAAGATACAAAACTGAATACACACCATGATTACAATGTGTAAAACAGGTATTGATAAGAACTGAGACTGGAAAGAAACGAAGATGAAATAGTTGGTGGATTGTGGCAGTGCTTTAATGCTCCTTATCTTCTAAACTGTTTTAATGTTATCATGTGGTTGGTTTTTTTCTATAATAATTAAAAATTTAAAAATATATTTATATTCAACCTTTGGGCTAAATTTGGCGCTCCCCTGGGGTGGCTGCCAGGAGCTGCCTCTCTTCATTTCCACAGTACTCAAGCCTGGGAAAATTTTTCTGTTTGGGCTCGGACTGCCACCCTTAAATGGAATAAGATTAGGGGGGAGGTACCCACCCTGGGGTCTGGGCTGTCCGCTGTGTGACAGCAGATGGTCTGCCGGCTGTGTCTCTGGAAATGGCTGAGCTTTGGAGTGAGTGTGGGAGACAAGACCAGCACCCACGAGCCCATGTACCCCCCGAGGGTGGTGAGTGTGGAGAGTGGCATGGGCCAGGCACCGTTTGGGACGATACCATTAAGAAAGAAGCCTGCCCTCAGATGCTCACCCCTGCTAGGAGAGGAGAACGATGCCACATCACGACGGGGAAGCTCAGTGTGGTGAGAGAGAGAAAAATAGCACCAAAGGTTTTCAGAGCAAGGAGGCGACCCCGGGAGGGGCAAAGCTCAGGAAAAGCTTCACAGAGTAGGTGGCGCCTGAAATGAGCTCTAAGAGATGAATAATATTTTATTACGTAGAGAGAAGAGTTTCTAGTGAGAGGAAATAGCATGGATTCCAACCAACCAACCAACCAACACCAGCCCCAGAACCCCCTGGTACGGTCCACAGCTGGGAGTATGCTGGAGGGGGAGCCCTGAGGGGGAGGTAAGGCCAAGAGGTGGGAAGTGCATATTAAGAGGATTCTAGAAAGCGTGCCTTTCTCTCAGTAGGCAGTAAGGAGCTCCCGAGTTCTTTGGGCATCTGGGTGTGGGGTGATCGGCAGTGAACTTGAGGTTGACTAAAGGCAGTAGTGGTCAGTGGCTGTAGAGGGAGAACCCTGGAGGCCGGGAGGCCATGGGCATCCATGAGA